CCCCGGATTCCGGGGTCTTACCCTACAGTGTCTGGTTCAATCGGTCTGGGGTGGAACCCAAGTATCTGCAAGTCTAATAAGTTCCAGGTGATGCCACAGGTCTGGGCATATTATGCTTGGGCCGTGCTTTTCCAAGCGCCGGTCAATGGTTGGCCATGTTGATTAGATACTTGAGTAGAAGGAATCAGCAAGGATGGGTGAAGAGCCTGGGCCTTCTTTCTACACCCATCCTCAGCAGTAGCTGCTCTCAATGCCCCGAATTCACTGTCAGCCACTGTTAGAGCTTGAAAAATGATTTGTCCCCTCAAAGTCATGTTTTAGAATTTAGTTTTAATGGGCAGTGATTGAATGTTTTCCCAAACTCATATGTTGGGACTTTGTTATACTGTGCTATACTTTGTCACGACGTTAAGTGAAAACTTAATCCCTTTCTGGGGTCCCAGGGTGGAGCCTCTGGTTGTGATAAAGTTATTAGGGTGGTGCCCCTATGATTGAGTTTGGGGGGTACATAAGCAGAAAGATGAGACACAGAGGAAAACATGGATACAGACCACACTCTGCTCTGCTAAAACTTCTGTCTTCCACCATCTCGTGATGCCTTAGGACGTGGCAACTAACAGAAATGTGAAGTTTGGAAATACACTTCTACTTTCTTCATAAATCACTCAGTCTCAAATACTTCTGATAGCAAGGCAAAAATAGACTAAGCCACCCTCCCATAAAAGCCCTCCATTCCTCTTGTTCTTTGTAGCCAAATCAAAAAATAAGGTTAAAATGTATGAGATAGGAGCCAGCAGGTGGCATGGTGGTTAAGAGACTGGATTCCTACATGGCTGACCATGGTTTGAGTCCTGGAATAGGTGGCTTGCTTTTCTCTCACTCTCCTTAGGTGAGCATGTGTGCCCTGGAGCAAATTAAAAATAAGAATAATGATAAATAAAATTAAATAAATAATTCTTTAAAAAAAAAGTTGAGGCCTCTGAAGACAGTAACAGCTAGAACATCCTGCAAACAAATTTACAGGAACTATAAGGCTAAAAAAAAAAAAAGATTTTCCCAAAAGATTTAAGATAGGGCCAGACCACAGCACAGCAGTAAAACACAACACTCTGCAAGGCTAACCCCACGGGAAGGCTCCGGTTTTGTGTCCAGAGACCTTCCTGTATACTCTGGGAATGCATGTGCCCATGATCCAGGCTGGATGAAGCCAGAGATCACAGCATCCAGACCTTGCTGGGCTCCTCTCCTCTCTTGCTCTCACTCTTGTGTCTCTTGCAGACAAGAGAAATTAACAAGCAAACAAACACATTTAAAGACTAGGGTCATGAATAAGGAGTATATCTTGGTCCTGAGTATCCATTTCCTGTTTGGAATCTTATTCTCATGGCTGCTAGCGAACCCTAGAGAAGCAAACATCAAAACTTCCAGTAGAGGGACCAGCAGTTAGCGTAATGGCTATGTTGCTGGACTCTCATGTAGCTGACTGCTGTTCATGTCCTGGACCCAGTGGCTTGAACTCACATTGGGCGCCAGTGGCTGGAACGCACATTGGGCGCGTGTGTGTGCATGCCCAAGATCCGGAGAGGAGAATGGAGGAGAAGGAATTGTGGCAAGGCCATCCCCCCTGCGGGGTGATTTCTCACTTTCTGTCTGTCTCTGTCTTTCTGGCTAGTGCTTGTGCCCTATGGCAAAAACCTCTCCAAAAAAAAAACCCTCAAAACAAAAAAACTTCGAGTAGAACAACTTTATTCTTCAGCTAAGAGCATGTAGGGTAAAACAAGGCTGTCTGAGTTCATAGCTGACTTTTAAATATTTCTGAGCTCCTTTGTAATTATGTGGGGAGTTCCTACATATTCACTTACAGGTTTTATTTTTAGGCATTTGACACCTGAACACAAATAAATGTATAAATATCATTTTCCTGAAGACATTTAAAAAAATAAGGCAATGAGAACACTGGGGTTAAAAGCATCACCCCAGTCAGTCTCATCTAAAGCCAGTAACAAATAGCAAAAATGGCTTATTTTAAAAGAAATATCGGGACCAGCAGTTAGCATAATGGCTATTTTGCTGAACTCCCATGTAGTCGACCACAGTTCAAGTCCCGGACCCACTGGCTTAAACTCACGCTGGGCGCGTGT